AAAAATATTTGTCATCAGTTGCTCGTAATCATGGTTTGGCACAGGGAGATAAACACTGATTTCTTAGAGCATGCTTATTACTAACTTTTTGATTTTGGAGAAAACTAGATTGCATTATATTTTCTAGATCAGTACAACTTTTAGGATTGCTGACTATACACATATCAGATACAGAAAATAAACATCAAAAAACCAAATTTGTAGTAACCTTCAAGTTATAATACTCAAGATAGTATAACAAAGTACAGAATTTTCAAAAATAGGATTTGACTGTCCCTTTAATATCTCTTATAGTTAGATAAGGAGACTGTCACTACTATTTTGAAATTACTGTTAAATGTGAGAGCCACACTTTATTTCTAGTCTCCAACTTGGTAATGTTGACATAAAGCTGATCTACGTAAGGGATGCCAATTTGAAATCTAAACAGTTTCAAATAACGATTGTCAGGTACTACACTGGGTCTCTGCTAATTTTTGTGACTTTTGCAATAACATTTTTCTATTTTAAAAAATGCTTTTTCCCTGTTGCTGTAAGAGATGTGGACAAACAGGAAAATGAGTATATATGGAAAATACTATCAAATGTGCAAGGTAAACTGAAGAGTATTTTTCTTAAATCTTTTTGCTAAATAACCCAGTGTGATACTTCCAACAATAGTATGTAAAATAGTTAAAGCCAGAAGAGAATTTTTTTTTTTCCTCCTCACCATAAGTGATGCTGTTTTAAACATTTGATCTCTGCAGATGGATGTGTAATGGCTGCATTTCCAACTCTTCCTACTTCTGGAGTCCTGAGGCCCTCCCAGTTCTCCTTATTAGATTTCTCCATTAGTTTATGATCACTCTTCCCCTGAAGGCGTTATATCCTGGTAGACTACTTACCTAGTAAGGAAGGCTTGATGAGCTTTGCTTCGTTGAAGCTAACCTGATGGGTTAAAGCCTTGTCCGTGCTTTTCCTTTTGGCAGTGAGGTTGCTGCATTGGTGCAAACTCCTAATATAGATGCAGCACACCAGTGTGTAAAGTGACTTGCTTGCAGTGGTACAAAAATGCCATTGTAGGTAAGGCCTAAGTCAATTTAAAGGTCTGCAGCAGAGTATTTTGAGACTCTTCTTTTCCTAAGGCCCTGAATATGATGCTTCTTCAATGCTTCCAGCTTGGGGGGGGAAATCAGACTTGGAAATCCAACGCTGATCTCATGTGAATGGGAAAACACTGGCTCATATTGTTTTATTGATTAAATCAGTGGTGCCCAAACTTTTCCTGTGGTGCGTACCCCCCCTACCCCCTGACTTACCAGTAATGGAATCCGTCCATACACCTCCTCTGTTACAACACAGTTGACTCAGCAGAGGTGCTTGGGCTGAAGGTGGAGCTGGGGGAGGAGAAGGAATGAGGGCAGAACTGGCTTGGGAGTGGAACTGTGGCTGGGACCAGAGCTGGGTGGCACTCCCTGTGGGGGCTGGCCAGGCCCTGTTGCTTGTCTTTACCGCCCCCCCAAAAAATAAAAAGTTCCTCTGTGCCTCCCTAGGGAGGTGCGCCTCAGTTTGGGGATCACTGGATTAAATGGATTGATTGTGCTATGAACAACTAGCAAGAGCAGCATGCCAAAAGGCCACTGCACTTAACATGATGACAATGGCCAACATACCTAAACAGTCTAAACGGCTTTCCTTACACACCAGCAAACAGTGTTTCTGTTCCTTTTGGGCTTTCATCATAATAGAACAGGATTTTCTTGCTTCAAGATCTCTTTGATTGGGCTGCTGATTGTTCATGGAGTTTGTTGACTGACTCGTAACTCTCAGCTGCCAGGATTTGTGAACTGGCTGTACTTGGAACTGCACCCAAGAAGTATAGGTCTTGTCACTGTACTTTTGATTTGGCAAACATATCATTTTTCTACTCGGCAGAAGCCAAGAACTGATATGTGGAAAATTTTGTTTAGTCTTCCCTTCAGAAAGGGATTACTCACCTTTATTTTGTGGGGTATCTGCAAGGCAACTACCCAACTTTACGAATTGGGAGGACTTCGGGTTCCATTACTACTTTTAATCTTCAAAGGCACAAATATTGACATACAGGAAAAAAAGGCTTTTGGCTGTTGGAAACTTTTGTAGCTATGTCTTGCCATTGGGGAAATCCACACATCCAAATGCACTCTTTATTTTTTTTTAGAAGTAAAAAATAAACCAGCAAGAAAGTGAAGTCCGTTAATAGCTTGTATATAAGCCCAAACCCAGTGTCTTGCTAACAGATCTCTCTCAGGCTTAAACTTTGTGCATTGATGCCAACAATAACAAATATGTAGGCAATTTTTTCTGCAGCATCTGTACAGGATGCTGCATACAGGCCCAGATGTCTTTAGAATGCCTCTGACTTCGATGAGGCTAAGCAAGGTGTTAAGTATCTTAATGAAGTCTTAAAAATCAACTTACCTCACATACCTTTCATAAAATTACTAAGAGTGTGTAAGTTTTTGTTTTTGTACTCACTCCACTTTGGAGCAAAGCTGCAAGTACAGCTTGAGGTGAGAGAGTGTTTTTTCTTGGACTGTCTCCATGATCAAATTAAACAAGGAGTCTGGTGGCACCTTAAAGACTAACAGATTTATTTGGGCATAAGCTTTTGTGGGTAAAAACCTCACTTCTTCAGATGTATAGAGTGAAAGTTACAGATGCAGGCATTATATACTGACACATGGAGAGCAGGGGGTTACTTCGCAAGTGGAGAACCAGTGTTGACAGGGCCAATTCAATCAGGGTGGATGTAGTCCACTCCCAATAATAGATGAGGAGGTGTCAATTCCAGGAGAGGAAAAGCTGCTTCTGTAATGAGCCAGCATGATCAAATTGTTACTTTTTGTGGTCAGATATCTGAGCACTAACAAAATCATTTTAACACCAGTGTGCTTTCAAATTAATGGGAAGTTTCTAAAGTTTGAGGAGATACTAAGAAAGATGGAGCAAATTCTTAGGTTAAGAACATATTCCTTACAACTATGGGAAGAATATGTTCAATATTAAAAGTTCAGTCACCGCTTTTGGGTTTCAGCTCTTTCTGGAGATACCTGCATGTGAGTATTGAGGGAGTGGTGTCTAATGGTTTAAAGCAAAGGAGGATCCTATTTTTGATCTGAGCCACTGACTCACTATGTGACCGTGGGCAAGTTACTCAACCACCTTGTGCTTCAATTATCCCAGTTGGGAAACTGACTAAACAATAGGAAACATGCTGAAAGGCGAATATTGCATCTGTACTGTGCTTCTTGGTCAATTAATTACAAAAACCAAAATGAACCCAGAGCCAGGAACATTATCTAAAAAACCCAGATTTTTATCAAATGTATGGTTTTTTTTTTTTTTTTTTAATTTGTAGCCAAGGCTTGAAAAATTTACCCAACACTTCCTAGCCTAAGCTGAAAGCCTACTCTTCAAGCCAAAATACACCAGTATCTCATGCTCATCCTCCAGCCGTACCCATTTGTGCCTAGTCTCCCAGTGGTCAGATACCTCTTGAGTGGTGGGAGACAGGTTTCCCTCCTCTTTATCTGGGCTCATCCCACTCAAGAACACGGAGGAGAGGACTGAGTAGGGAGGCTCCATTTAGTGTATTTTTAAAAAAGACAGGCTTTTTTCTCCCATATCAGAGAACTCTTGTATGGCTGATACCAGACAGATGCCTCTTGTAAGGATGGCTGCAGAAGCCTCACTTCAGGTGGTGTGTAGGGGTCCTCGGCATCCCAGATGAGGAGGTGATAGCAGAAGCCTCCCTGCTCCAAACAACACACTGCCACAGCAGAGCACTGTGTTACACTAGGAGTGTAATATCCCAGTGTAGATTGGATTTATCTTTTTAAATTAAGGTTTGTTTCTGCACAAGGTGATGACATTTGCTGGGAAAGATTCCTGTTCACCCTTGGTGTGTGCAGGAGACTTTTCAAGCCTTGTTTAGTGTCATTGGTAGGAAGTTATAGATTGAGTGCTGCCAGAGGAGATAAGATGAACGGAGGATCCCAAGCTTTTGAAATAACCAGGCTGACTAGATCTGATGCTGTTCACTCTACTTGCTTCTAGATGGCACTATGAAATAAGAGAACTTGTTTGTACAGTCTGGTGAGGCAAGCTAACTATATAGGGTTAGCAATAAGCTGTTTGGTTTATCCATGGTGGTATTTAATTGCCTAGCATACATACTACTTTGGGAAGAAAATGTCACTCATTCATCCCAATGTGATATAGGAACACTGATCAGTGTGCTTTGAATCACTTTTAGATATTCATGAATCATGAAGGTATTTATAGAGGGGTCAGTGTTTGCACTAAACAAAACAATGTGATTTGTGTACAAAGAATTTACAATGATGAGCTATTTACCTTGACATATAAATGAGGCCACTATATAAATGGCTTATAGCATAGCCAGACCTTCTCTCACCCCAAATACTTATCTCTTACAGTTATCTATATAACATCTCATCCAAAAAAAAAAACCCAACCCTTTAACATGTATCAATATGTTAGATTTCTGAAGAGGGAAAGGTTTAATAATTTCTATACACTTTTTTTTCCCCATTGTCTCTAGGTTTTAAATTCTTTAGCTTTTTTTGCTTCCATTGTTCAAAGCAGGAAGTTATGATTTAAGACAATTTTAAAGGCCTAATCTAACAATCTTTCTTGAGCAGAAGATTTCCTTAGGAAGATAGCATGCAAAAGAGCTTGTTCATGGCAGAGGAAAGACCCATCTTCCATTTTTGTAAGCTGCTCTTGTATCCAAGAGTTGTTGTGTTCAGCATATCTTGAAGTACTGAGTAAAATCGGTTGGTTCAGAAACATTCACTCATTATGAAGTGTGCCATTATAGTAGAAACTTTAGCCTTTGGATGTTTGAGGATAGAAAGAGCTGGACTAGCTATTGATATGATAGGAGATAATGGTCATATTGTAGTGAAACATATAAAACTAAAACATTTAAAATTGGCTTCTTTTTTTTTTTCCAGCAGCTCCATGAGACGGTGAAAAGAAAACTTGATAGTGCTGCTTCCCCTCAGAATGGAGATCAACAGAATGGGTATGGTGATATGTTTTCTGTGTCCAAGAAATTACGTTGTGAGGATGGTCTTGGTGGGGTAAGTGGCTCCTCCAATGGCGTACCTCCTTTATCCCCACTACATCAACTTGACAAGAAATCTTCTGGTGGAGATGCCTTACAGCTCAATGGAAAGCATTCAATGGGACTGGACAGCATCAATAAAAAGTGTCTTCCAGATTCTAACCTTCAGCTAAATGGGCGTAGTGATGCTGATGACTCATTTCCTTTGGGTTTGAACAAAGAGCTCAAGCAAGAGCCTGTGGATGACCTTCCTTGTATGATTGCTGGAGCAGGCGGTTCTATATCTCAGAACAACTTGATGCCTGATCTTAATCTTAATGAGCAGGAATGGAAGGAGCTCATTGATGAACTTAATAGATCAGTGCCCGATGAAGACATGAAGGATCTATTTAATGAAGACTTTGAGGAGAAGAAGGATGCAGATTCTTCAAATTCAGCTGCACAAACTCCATTGCCACAAGACATTAACATAAAGACTGAATTTTCCCCAGCAGCCTTTGAGCAGGAACAGCAGATGGGGTCTCCACAAGTCAGATCCACTTCTTCAGGTCCAACATTCATTGGAGCCTCCTCTGTACCTGTTAGTGCTGCTTCTCCAGCAGTTGGGGGCTCTCAGACTATGTTCCAGTCTTCCAGTCAGACAGTGACTGAAAATCCTAATCAGTCTATGATGCAGGCATCAAACCAGTCTCAAAATGTGCAGAGGCCTCTACCCAATGTATTATTATCTGGACAGGGCACAGGAAATGCCAAAGAAATGTCCTCTGCTCACCAACTTCAACAGATGGCTGCTAAGCAGAAGAGAGACCAGATGTTGCAGAACCAGCAGCAGGCTTCACAAGTACACCAAACGAGTCAGATGTCCAGCTGGCAACAGTCTGGACCTTCTCATAGTCCACTGGGTGTCCCCTACGCAATGGACAATCCCACCAGCCCTTCAGTTTACCAACAGGACTTCAATAACCAGAAACTCATAATTCCTAGTATGGCAAATAAGAGTTCTCCCAGGAATGGAGGCAATTACCATGTGAATATGTTGAGTCATCAGCCAAACAGCCTGAACCAGAACCCTGTAAATAGCCAAGGCTCCATGCTAGATTATGGCAACACAAAACCCCTTTCACATTACAAAGCAGAGTGTGAGCAAGGCGTTACAGTACCTGGCCAGAACAAGACACCTATGTTGGCATATCTGCAGCAACGCCAGCAACCGCCACTGCCTCATATGAGTGAAGAACAAAATGGGATGTTCCTGATGAAGCAGAAGTCTGGAAATATTGCCTACAGACCTCTAGTACCACACAGCCAGGTAAATGTTCGGGGCTGTTACCATTGAGAAGTAACAATCTTGGAGTGCTAGGTGTGTAGGACCAGATCCAATTATTAGTTGCAATTATTTGGAAATACAGTTTACTGAATATCCTAATTTTCCATTCTAAAGCAAGTAAAACCAAGACACGACCAAGGAAAAACCATCTAGAAATAACCAAATTTTTCATTGAGTATAGTGTCTAATAGTTAATACTAATAGCTAGGCTGGTAAGATATATTTCCAACTTAATACACCATGTGGGAACCAAATTCCTTAATATAAAAGTCAGTATCTGTAAAGATACTTGAAAACTTTGTAAACATTTATCTAAAATAATTTCTTGTTTTAAAACTTAAAAATAATTCTCAAAGAAACCTTACTTTTCAATCAATGTCTCCTCTTCTCGGGTGACTTGTTTGAAGACCTCAGGTCTGTTTCCTTCTGGGTATTCTTGACTCCTAAGGGTGTTGTGGCTCATATGAGTAGTTGGGGGGCCATTGGGAGAACAAATGGACTGTGTTTTAAGTGAAATCCCAAGGTTGGCTATCTTAAATCTCAGCTGTTGGAGAGGTCCCCCCTTCCTTTCGCTTTTCTCCCTCTCCCCCCCCCCCCCCCCCCCCCCCGTGGAAATTAACAGTGGTAACATTTGTCTACCTGAGGCAATATTACTCCTGGGAGAATTCTGTGCCAATGCACAATACAGAATTAGTGTTGTGCGCATAATTTCCTTTTTCCCTTGCAAAGATGGGCTGCAGTGCTGCTGGTTGCCACTAGGGGTTGCTGGACCCAGCAGAGCACCCAGCTCTCAAATAGATGATGATGCTGGGGGGAGGAGGAGCTGGAGGATTCCCAGCAGCTGCAGGAATGTGGCACCATGCAGGAAACTCCATACAAGCCTGGGACCCAGCATCGTGCTGTTTCTCCCTCTAAATCCCTGGGGTGAAGGGGGGGTGAGCATCTCAGCTGTGGGGGTGCCCTGTGGCTGGGCTTTGGGGAAGGAAGGGGGTGCGGATGTCTGGAATGAGGGAGGGGGAAGAACCAGGAACTGGGTTGTTATAGGAGGTTTCTTTAACTCTCTAATCCTGGGGGAATTTTTGTGTCTGTGTTGTTAGAGACATAGTTGCTGACAGATATTTTGAAATAAGATACCAAATTACTGAAACTGCCATGATTATATAGTGTGTTGACAAATAAAATATGCAGAATTTTAAAATATTGTGCACAGAATTTTTAATTTTTTGGTGCAGAATTCCCCCACGAGTACAATATGGAGAATAAAAGGTGACCTGCAAAGGGAAAAAAATTAGTTATGCTTTTTCCCAAAAGGCTTGTAGTGCTTGTTTTACGTTAAAAATTCATGTCTTGTCTACCCTGTTATTCCTGGAAGACTGCAGAACTAGTAGGATACAAATACACAAATGGTATCACAAATACAAATCTGTGCAATTGAGGATGACTTGTCAGAATATTTAAAACTGTGGTGTTTAATACCTAGAACACACATGCTTGTTGAACAGTTGAGAGAAAAGATCTTTTAAAAAACCTTAAAAGCCCGTCCCTCCAGCTAAAGGCTGTTGAGCTCTTACTCCATAATATGGTCCTTCAAGATTACCTCAATCAACAAACAGGAAAGACATGATTTGACGCTTCTAAGGCAGGGGTGGGCAAACTACAGCCTGCGGGCCAGATTCGGCCAGCCGGGTATTTGGATCCAGCCCTCGAATTCCTGCTGCGGAGCGGGGTCTGGGGCTCTGCACAGCTCCCGGAAGCAGCAGCATGTCCCCCCTCCAGCTCCTATGCTGGGAGCTGCAGGGGCGGTGCCTGCAGATGGGGCAGTGCACAGCAGAGCCACCTGGCTGTGCCTCCGCGTAGGAGCTGGAGGGGGAACATGCTGCTGCTTCCGGGAGCCGCTTGAGGTAAGCACTGCCCTGAGCCACCGCCTCCTTCCCCGCCTCAACCCCTTGCCCCAGCCCTGATTCCCCCTCCCACCCTCCGAACCCCTCGGTCCCAGCCCGGAGCACCCTCCTGCACCCCAAACCCCTCATCGCCTGCACCCCCAGCCGGAGGCCTGCACCCCTCCCCACCCTAGCCCGGAGCCCCCTCCCACACCCTGAACTCCTCATTTCTGGCCCCATCCCGAAGCCTGCACCCCCAGCCAGAGCCCGCACCCCCTCCCACAACTCAATTTCATGAGCATTCATGGCCCACCATACAATTTCTATACCCAGATCTGGCCATCGTGCCAAAAAGTTTGCACACCCCTGTTCTAAGGTAAAGATCAAGCAGAATTTTTTTTTTGTAAATTAGAGCTACTTTATGCTTCATAAAAAGCAAGAAGTCATCATTCCAATTTTTTTTCTTTGTAAGTCACTTTTAACATGGCACTGATAAAATGGGGGGAAGTAACACCTCAGCAGCTCTTTTTTTCATGTTTGCTGACTCGAGGATGTTCCACACACTAATGTGCACTGAAGTAACAAAAGATGTTAATTAAAACAGATCTAGTTAATTTGCTGCAAGTTTGTGTAGACCAGCCCTTAAACAGTGCAATATCAATTACTTTTGGTTCACAGTATCTGATTACCTGGGGAGTAGAGGAGCTGGCCCCACACCCCAGTATCTGACACTTTAATTAAAAAAAAATTGTGTGAAAAATCTTCCAACCCCAGCTTTAATCTTGATAATATATCTGATGGTAACCATAGGAACTCCAAATAAGACTTTTGATGTGGTTACCTGTAAAACTGTCAAAGCAGACGTAGTATTTGTCTTACTTCTCTGATATTGTTGCTATTTTATAGGTAGCACTTATGTTCATTCAAGTCTCCTACTCCTAAAAGAGCAGAGTTTCACACTGCAGTTTTCAGCTACGTGGAGAAAATACAAGAATATCAAACAGTAAATATTGGATGCTAAACTAAAGACCCAAACTTATCTCTGTACTGTTAGTCTGTGGGATTTTTTTTGTGTGTGTGTGTTTGTTTGTTTTTGGTCAGCTCTTCTACAGATCGTCTAATGGCACAGGACATTATAAATCATGCTTTTGGACTATACAGTTTGGTTAAAAAAAAAAAAAAAACTCCTCCTCCTCCCCCCCCCCCTCAAATACCACCAACTCCTTATTAACAGATAGTTTTATCTGGTTAACAATAATTCAGTTGTACAATCAGAAATTGAAAGAAGCAGGATTACTGTAATATTTTTGTTGGTATCTACTAGGTATAATTTCACATTCTATCTGAATGTGAAATTATCTCAAATTTGCTTTATGCAGTCTTCATTTGAAATGCTGCCACCCAGGTAAATGTAAAAAGTTTGTGTACTTCACACTAGTTGTGGTATGCAGTGAGTAATTAATGTTAAATGAAGCCTAATTGAGGAAGCAAAAGCCTATTGTGGAGAGAGGATTATACTGGAAAGGCTATCTGCAGAATCAGGGGCTTAGTGGAGAATGCAAATACTTGAGTAGTGCTATAGAATTCAGTGGAACTAATACCGTATAAATTCTTGCAGAATTGGTATCTTGTATTGCTTAATCACATCCTATAGTTCCTGGTAGTTTACTAAATTAAATTAATCTCTGTGTGCCTATAATAAAATTTCTCAAATAACCTTAATGGGGCTACAATTCAAAATGTTGCTTCATTTCAAAAGAAGGTTCTGGGAGCACAGATGCATGTTGTACTTAATGGTTTACAATATGCTTTTGAAAACAGCACTGAAGTTTTGGAGGAGGATTGACTAAAGATTAATAGTTAGTCCACTACCTGGATACTAGCATGATGTCAGAGTGGTGATTTGTGGATTTTTTTTATTCTTCCCCCCCCCCCCCACCTTTCTATTAATACCTGGCAGTGTGCTCCTAGCTGTGTAGAAGCATACATAGGGCCATTCATTTGCGTGAGGCATAGGGGAAGTGTTGTAAATAAGAATGACACTGCAGTCTCCCTCCATGAATGTTGTGTAGCTCCAGATCTTCCTCTAATCACTTTATTCATGCATAGCCCTTGATACACATTTCTCCTTGCCCACCTTGTGTTTCTTTTTGTTTCCCAGGCAGTTAATCTGGCATTGTCATGGGTTAATCTGAAGCTTTATAGATTGAGAATTAAAAATATTTTGCTAGATTTGTTTTGCACTCGATTTTTACACTGAATTTTATTAATCGACTGTGTGAAAACACAAAAATGGATATGGCTTGCCAAGTGTCTATTTTCTTTGGGATATTTTTATGACTTGTGTCCTGTAAGAGAGGAAAGTAATAAAAGTACTTTGCCAGTCTCTAGTTATGTAATCATTTGTCATGAGTGATGATCTTGCTGACCTGAATATGTTCATATAGCACTTGTAGATTCAGTAGTACCCATGCCACTCCTATAACTGATGTTATTTATATTCTGCAGGATCAAAACCCTTCTCCCAGTGTTCCTCGTGTTCCTGTTTCTGCCCCAGGCCCTGGTGTCAGTGCTCAGCCTTCCAGTGTTTCCATGGCAGGTAACCATAACAACACAGCCTATCTCAGCAATCAGCAGCAAGCAGTGGTAATGAAGCAACACCAGATGTTACTGGACCAGCAGAAGCAGCAACAAAAGCATTTGCTGATGGAGCAACAGAAGCAGCAGTTCCTAATAGGGCAGAGGCAGCAACAACTCCTAGCTGAACAGGTAAGAACTGCAATACTGGGTCAGATCAATGGTCCGTCTAGCCCACTACCCTGTCTTCTGACAGTGGCCAATGACAGATGTTTTAGAGGGAATGAAAATAACAGGGTAATTATCAAGTTATCTATCCCCTGTTGTCCACTCTCCGCCTCTGGCAGTTGGAGGCATAGGACACCCAGAGCATGAAATTGCATCCCTGATCATCTTGACTAATATCTCTATGAATTTATCTAATTCTTTTTTGAGCACGGTTATAGTTTATCTTCACAACATCTCCTGGCACGAGGTCCCCAGGTTGACTGTGTGTTGTATGAAGTAGTACTTCCTTTTGTTTTAAACCTGCTGCCTATTAATTTCTTTGGGTGACCCCTGGTTCTGGTGTTGTGAAGGGGTAAATAACACTTCCATATTCACTTTCTCCATACCATTCAGAATTTTATAGACCTATATCATATCACCTCTTAGTCATCTCCTTCCCAAGCTGAAAAGTCCCAGTCTTTTTCATCTCTCCTAATATGGAAGTAGTTAAGCCGATGGGAGAGCTCTCTCCCATCAGCTTAGAGCAGCTGTAAACTCTCTACTGTAGTCGTGCCCTTATATCGGTTCCTCTACCCGTATTCCCACATTGGCGCAGAGCTTGAAGAGTTTTTCTCCCTCACAGGCAGTCTGGCCCCTAAATAAGCATACATAGAATATCAGGGTTGGAAGGGACCTCAGGAGGTCATCTAGTCCAATCTCCTGCTCAAAGCAGGACCAATCCCCCACTAAATCATCCCAGCCAGGGCTTTGTCAAGCCTGACCTTAAAAACCTCTAAGGAAGGAGATTCCACCACCTCCCTAGATAACCCATTCCAGTGCTTCACCACCCTCCTAGTGAAAAAGTTTTTCCTAATATCCAACCTAAACCTCCCCCACTGCAACTTGAGACCATTACTCCTTGTTCTGTCATCTGGTACACTGAGAACAGTCTAGATCCATCCTCTTTGGAACCCCCTTTCAGGTAGTTGAAAGCAGCTATCAAATCCCCCCCTCACTCTTCTCTTCTGCAGACTAAATAATCCCAGTTCCCTCAGCCTCTCCTCATAAGTCACGTGCTCCAGCCCCCTAATCACTTTTGTTGCCCTCCGCTGGACTCTTTCCAATTTTTCCACATCCTTCTTGTAGTGTGGGGTCCAAAACTGGACATTGTATTCCAGATGAGGCCTCACCAATGCCGAATAGAGGGGAATGATCACGTCCCTCGATCTGCTGACAATGCTCCTACTTGTACAGCCCAACTACAGGCCTCAGCCCTATACCCTTGCGGTATTGCCCTGAAGGCCTTTCCTTCAAATGCTTACCTCTTCGATGTGAGTCTTTTTTTCCTTTCCTGTAGGCCTCTCCTCTGCCTCACTCCAGCTCTCTCAGCTTCGGAGCCAGGGGTAGCTTTTTAGTATAGCCTGGCAGTTGCAGGATCTGGGACTACAATTTGCATCATTCCTTCCTAGAGACTGTCTCCCAGAATTCCCTGGCCATTCAAGACCAATCCCCAGAAGAAAGGCCAGCGGTGCTTACTTCATTCCTCCCTCCCACCCAACTTCCCCCGAATGCCAACTCTTGGTTCCCTATTTTTCCTGATGGATTTGTTAGATGACATGGGTGTGGACTGGGAGCTTTCTCCACCAAATTGAAGAGGCAGGATTGTTGAATCTTTAATGGAGAGCTTTCTTCCAGCTGAGTTAATGGACTGTTAAAACAGTCTTAAATAGTGAATAACATCATTGGTATGGGTTCTCTATCATAGCTAGAGAACTAGTAGTTTCATGGTCTTTTAGGAAAACTGGGATAGGCAGAGGCAGGAAAAATCTTTTAAAACAACCTTTCAGTCTTCTTGATACATAATAAAAATAAGAAAATTCACTTTTCTGTTTGGCGGGGCCACTTTAAAATGAGACATATTGATAGTGGAGGAAGTTGCGTAAAAGTGCTTTTTTTTTCCCCTGTAGTGTTTTCAGAAATGTTACTGAAAATGGCTATTTACTGAATATTAGAGAGGCAAGGTAGGTGAGGTAATATCTTTTATTGGACCAACTTTTGTAGGTGAGAGAGAGAGAGAGAGAGAGAGGCTTTTGAGTTTACACACAGCTCTTCTTCAGGCCTATTTACTGAATAGGCATGTGTTTGAAAAACTGACATCCCAGTTTTCCTTGCATCTGAGAGCATTTAGATACGCATTGCAGCAACCTCTGATGCATGTTTGTCATCCTGGCTTTCAGGTGGTGCATTTTTTTGTTTTTTCTCTGAGTTTATCAGAATTCTGTCAACCGCTGTTTACTAATCTGCCCTCCTGTCCCTTCCTCTTTTAAATAAAAATTATTGCACTTGACCCCTGTAAAGAGAGAGTATTCTTCTGGGTTGGCTATATAACACTATTAAAGCCCCCATAGTTATCAGACCTCTGAACAAAGCATAGATAATTTCAAGTGTGACTTCAAAGCTAAGTGTTGATTTTTCTCCCCCCCCCCCCCCTTACTCTTGTATTGAACCTTTCGTAGGAAAAGCGGCACCAACAAGAGCAGCAGCTCCAGCGGCACCTGACCCGACCACCCCCTCAATACCAAGATCAGGCACAGAACCCTTACCAGCAGCAGGTTGGACAGTTCACAGGTAAACAAACATGAGATTTGAATTAATAATGGTGAAAAGAATAAACGTAGGGTGTCTTCAAAGTCCCTGGACTTTATAAATATAAATACAAATACACACACACACTCTGACTTCAGTTGCTATTTAACAAAACTGCCTAGCCCACATACATTAATTGAATGTTTTTATGACCACTTAAGTATCCAACTCTTTAATACACCTCTAGGAATAAGTCTGTAATGCTTGGATAAGGGATGGCATGAAAATTCTTAAATGTCTTTACATTTCCCCAAGGGTCCTTGGAGATCTAGTGACTTTCTCCTCCTTCCTCTTCCCACAGAGGCCCCAAATTATAGTTACCTTGCCTCCAATACATGAAGGATACAGCTCTTTCTGAAGCTGAACGGCATCACTCCCTATATTCATCACAGGGCCTCATAAGAACCTTTTTTCCCCACTAAAGAGCCTGATTTTTTTTTTTTTTTTTTTTTTTTGACGCATCCACAGCACTCTTATCCCTGCTGATTTGAGTGAGGAATGTAAGCTCTGATCCTCTGCATTTTAGGGTCATAGTCTGCATTTATTTGTGAGGGTGAGGGGTGGAACTCGCTACATCTGTTAGCATACTAATGCTGGTAGCAAGAAGGTGTAATTACCAGTCAGGTGGAATATCATAACTGATGTGAAAACATTGGAAGCCAGTAATCACCCATCTTTTTGTACCAGAAAGAGGCTTCCCCTGCATTGGGGCAAGAAACTAATTTGAGTATAAATATGTCTGCAGGTATTGGTCCACTCATTTTCTCTGGAGGTAAAAGAACTTAAAAAAAAAAATAGCTAATTTCCTTCCTCCTTCTGCCCTGCTCTTCATTCACCTCCAATATCCCCATTGAAGGGCAACTTCTTAATGTGGAAATATAAACAAGATACCATTATATTAATAATGCTGATGGATGGTAACATGCAACATCTTAGTCAGTGATATGAAATGTGGCTTCTATGGCCAGGCAATTATTTCCTCAAGATAAGTAACTTGATACAGGCATAAGAGAAGAAATGCTTGTACATCTATAACAGATTGGTATGTAGGATAGGTGGTGAGTATTGTCCCTCAGTCTGAGCATTGCAGTACTTATTTCTCCCCACCACTACCACCAGAAATGCAGTGATAGATCAGTTAGAAATACTGAGCATGTAACAATTTGCAAGAGTTACAGCATTGTTAAAAACACTATTGGTTCTATCCTATAGGCATGTTAACTATAGTTATTTTAGCACTGTTACATCCAGGCATATGTACCTCCTCTTTGCTTATAAGCATGGCAAAAAAGACTTTCTCCACTTCTGAACTTTTTTTTGATGGTATATTTCACTGATAACTTGTTTAATGCTTTGAAAGCCTTACCATTCAAACTAGCAAATTTTTTTCACTTATCTTGAATTCAAAACATTCACCCCCAGCTTTTCTGGTAAGAGTGGCTGCCTCAGTTTAACAAATTTGAAAGAGGGACTTGGGACTCCTTTTATATCTCACTGCAGAAAATGCATTGGAACTATTTCTAGGAATTATTTTCTGTACACTTTCTTATTTATTCCTCTTGTCTCTTTATATCGTTTGAACTCTAACTGGGGGAGAGGGAGCTGTTGTTCTGCATAAATGCTTTTAAGTAGAGTTAAAAAGGAGCCGCCACCTTGGTAGTTTACTGAGCATATTGCTTATTCCTGTGATTCATCATGCTTATATCAGTCTTGCGTGTTGATGCATAGTGAATGCTTCAGTATGAAAATCCAAAAGGTACTCGAACTGAAAATAGATGTATTATCTGGTTTGATAGTCCTAACATTCAAACTGAAATAGATAAAGCAGATGTATTATCAGTAAAAGAGATGATTTGGCATATACCCTAATGAGTTAAATTATTTGCATCCACTTTAGATGAACAAGTTGCTGAGTCTGCCCTCCTTCTCAGCCTGATGCTATATTTGACCCTCTTCTCCCAGTTCAGAGCACTTTCACGGACATGAACTCTGATGTGAAGGACCTAGATCTTTATCTCATTAGCCCTGCAATAGGCACTTTGAGTCAGATTTGTAAAGGTCTTTAGGAGCCTAAAGATGCAAATAGACTCTTAGTGGGATTTTCAAAAGCGCCTCGATGCATAACTCCAATTGATTTCAATAAGAGTTAGATTCCTAGGTGCTTTTGAAAATCCCACTAGGCACCTGTCTGCATTTTTAGGAGCCTAAACACCTTTAAAAATCTGTCCCTTGTGATCTTGGTTTCTGCCTTCCCCAAAAGAAGTGCCATTCAAATTGCTGCTGATCTGTTATAATCACACCTGTGCATGTTGATCAGTAGCGAGCACTGACTTATGGGTAAGGTACATTTTTAGTAACAGGTCACAGGCAGTAAACAAAAATTCATGTCCTGTGACCAGTCCATGACTTCTACTATATACCCCTGACTAAAACTTTGCCCTTCCCCAGTCTTGTGTCTCCCTCCCCCCCTCCCTCACCTCCCCCCCCAGCCAGGGTGCTTGCGGGCAGGGAGCACGCTCCCTACCTGGCTCTGTGCCTCAGCACCCCCCCTTCTGTTCCTCCTCTCCCCCAGCAGCAGAGTTTGGGCGTGGAAAGTGCAGGGGGTTGTGGCACGGGATGGGGTGAGGCGGGCTCTGGCTGGTGTTTATGTGGGGGGTTCCCCGGAAGTGGCGATATCCCCCTTGCTCAGCTGCTAGGCAGAGGTGTGGCTGCCTCCCCCTATAGGCACTGTCCCCACAGCTCCCATTGGCCACAGTTCCCGGCCAATGGGAGCTGCGAAGCCAGTGCTTTGGGCAGAGGCAGCATGCAGAGCTGCCTGGTCCTGCCTCTGCCTAGCAGCTGAGTGAGGGGGATGTCACCGCTTCCGGGGAGCCTCCTAGGTAAGTGCCGCTCAGAGCCTGCCTCACCCCATCCCGTGCCCCAACCCCCTACCTCCTCCCACACCCAAACTCTGCAGCTGCTGAGCGGTGGGCGTGGTGGCCTGAGACTGCCCCAGCAGTAGCCAGTGTGACTGATGCAGGGGCTGCCCGAGCTGCCCCTGAGCCAGGTGCACCGGCCGCTGCAGAAGTCACAGAAAGTCACGAAATCCACGACCAACTCACAGCCTTACTTATGGGGCAGTAGTTGGAAGCTTCTTTACTGACATACCACAAGACTGATCATACAGGGGAAGATGTAATATAGAATTTTCCCATTTATTGTGTGTATGTATGTTAAATGCATCTACTACATATATGTGAAAGAACATCTAAAGGTCTAGATAGGCTCTGGATAAACTGAAATACAGAGTGATATTTTCTATGTTAATTGTTTATTACAGGGTCCTCTCCAGCCATGACCGGGGTAAGTAACTTAGGACAGTCCAACTCCAGCAGTCCACGGATGTTTTCTCAGACCCAGAACATGATTCAGATTGGACCTGGACACAGCTCTGTTCCTCCTCTCCAATCAGGCTCCAGTCAGCAGGATCGAGGTGTGACTCAGTACACTAGTATGCAAAACATTCAGCGAGGGGGGCTGTACAGCATGACACCTGGTATGACCCAAATGATTTCACAGCATGCAAATCAAAGTGCCAACGGACAACTACAGATGCAAAGGCAGCCCAGCTTGGGTCAGGGCACTCCTGTTCCTGCTGGGTATGGGCAGAGCACCCTGGGAAACCCAAGCATTTCTCAGCAGCACAATAAGGGGGCACTGAATCCAACCATAGCCAAGCCACAGATGGCAAGAGTGCCAGCAGCTATTGGTGCCCAAAATCCATCTTGGCAACACCAAGGCATGCCTAATATGAATAACCAGACACAAGGAAATGGTGGCTTAGGGTCATTTACTGCCAGCTCCACTTTCCACATGCAGCAAACTCACCTAAAGATGGCCAACCAGCAGTTTGCTCCAGGGATGCCTCAGGTAAGCCTAAGCACCAGCAGATCAATGGCCTCCATGAACTCTGCTGTCTCTGGGCAGCTGTTGTCATCTTTAGGTGCACAGCAGAGGACAAACCCACCTACCCAACAGCAGGTACCCTCGCAACAAGTTTTGCCTAGCATGAGCCAGGCCGTTCCAGATCTGACTGCTTTTGGCCAGAATCCAAATCAGCAACTGCCCAATAGAGCCAATCTGCACTGTACTCAAGGTTACTCAGTGAGGACAACCAGTCAGGAGCTGCCTTTTGCCTACAGTGGCCAATCAGGCAATAATGGACTGCAGAGCTTGACTGGTGACACAGACCTGATAGACTCTTTGCTGAAAAACAGGACTTCAGAGGAATGGATGAATGACTTGGATGAGTTGTTAGGAAATCATTAAAATGGGGCTTGAGGGTTTTCTACATCTTTTTTTTTTTTTTTTTTTTTTTTTTTTTTTTAATATAAACTACACTTTGACCAAAAACCTGTGGCATTGAAGAGACTTGCAGGCATTAGAGGTAAATGGTTGGGAAATGGACTGGAGCTGCTTCCCAACAGGCTTCGACACATAATGGTGCACCAAGCAGGTCTGCAATGACAATGCGTTTATTTTTGTGGCATCTGTGGTGCACATTTGAACAGGTCAGGCAAATTTGTGTGCATCCCAGTTAGCCCTTCAGCAATCTCACTTGCAGTGTTTTGAAACTTAGGTTTTTAATTATTTAAAAATAAATAAAAACCCACAACAATGGTGCAGAAAGAGAGCAAATAAAACTGCAAGTATTTTGTGTTTAGGGCTTATTCTCCTGCCGCTAATACTTGAGTTGATCATTGTTCCCAGCTTGGCATGCTACTAGCTACAGTATTGCCCTACCAAATGTTTTACTTAATTTTTGCCAGAGGAGAGGATGTGCACCTCAGTACATTTGCAAAACATTTTTTATTTTGAGTCAGTCCTTTTTCCCCCACCAGTGAAGTGTGTGCCTGTACTCTCAACAAGCAAGTGGTATTTCACAATAATATTTACAGCAAATTTTTCTGAATGCTGGTGATAGATGAAAGTGTTAAAACCTGGCCAGCTGGCCCAGGATAGTGACTTCCTTAATGGATTGTGGATAGGGTGACCAGATGTCCTGATTTTATAGGGACAGTCCCGATTTTTGGGTCTCTTTCTTATATAGGCTCCTATTACCCCCACCCCCGTCCCAATTTTTCACACTTTGCTGTCTGGTCACCCTAATTGTGGACTCCCAAGCTCCAGTTTGCACTCTGTTGTGGAGGGACACAGAGTTCCTGGCTTTTACCTTGCTCAGTTTATAGAGGGACTTCCTTATGGGAGAACTTTTCAAATATATCCGACTGAAACATAAACCAATTTAATTTGCACATGTTTCATCATAACTCGTTTCCAAAGGTAGCTGTGTTTAAATGAGGGCTTTGCCGCGTCACAGCTCATCTTGTTTTACTGTTTGTTTCTGCAGTGTATTTCTAATGTGGACTTTGTGAGATCCGTCTTCTCCAAAACTAAATACAGTAATGCCATAAGCACAAGATTTTGTCACTTTAGGATCAAGTGCATAAAAGCAGCACTGGGCTGAGGAGTGTAAAGTCCTTATTAAAATGTAAATATCTGCAAGTAATAGCACAGGGAACCTGGAAAAATACTAACCTTGTTTCAGGGTTGCTCCAATGTGAAAATCTCCCACTTTCACAAATGGGGGTGGGGGAGTGAGTGTTTAGTTAGATAATCTTTCTGTGAACAGGTGGATTGCCTTCTCTAATCTCAGTTGAAGCAGAAGCCCACGGAGACCGCTCACCCTCACCCGGATGTGTTAGGGTCAGTCTCACACAGGGTACGAAAAGCAATGAGAGCAGTCAATGTTCTAAAGTCCTTACTTGCTACCAAATATTCCCCTCTCACCAACAAACCACCTTGCCTTAACTTTTAATTTAAAATGGAAATAAAGTTTGTTTTAGCTGTACAAATACCTCTTTCCCTCCAAGCCCCATTTAAAAAAAATAGTGGGCCAACTTTTTTCCATTTTGTAAAGCTCCTTAAAATTTTCCAGCATTATGATTAAAAGGTTTTCCTTCAATACAGACTAGTATCTTCAGGAGCCTTTCTGCACTGCAGAATCATGGGGGATTTTAAGCTTTTTTTGGGGGGGGGAGGGGGGAGTGAAGGATAAAAGTGAATTCTAGGAAAGAAAATATTTTACTGTCTCTGGGCAGCTCATTTATCGGACAACTTGCACTTTTTAAAAAACAAACAAACTGCTTTTAACACTAATAAGTTTAATTTAACCCTGTCCAAATACACAGGAACCTAGTTTTGTCGTACACATTTACCTAATGTGAGTTAATTATGCCCTGTTAAACAGAGTTTGGATGATATAGAGGCTGTTGATAGCTGTATGTTGACCAGTGGATTTCACCATTGAATAGATAGAGGTTGAAACTCCACTGAAGCAAATTAAATCCCTTGTAGGTTATTTAAAACAAGGTAAGATAGGGAGTTGATCATTGAATGAGAAGTAAGTGCCAGTGACACTGGTATTAGTGACACAGTTTTTAAGATTTTTCTAGGTAAAGTAGCTGAGGTTTAAAATTACTAATCCTAACTTCTCTGGTATCAACAATTTGGGGAGGGGGGTAAGAAACCTTAGTAAGATTGGTTTTAATATTGCATTAAACAAAAAATTGGGCCAAGAAAAATTTAATAAGTCTTCTGAACCTATTAACCTTTTTTTTTTTGGGGGGGGGGGGGGGGGGGGGGGAGGGGGGCATTCTTTTTCTCTTTTTTTTTTAATGTGTTAACTTTGCACCAGTGTGCCTTCCTTTCCTGTTGGGGGTGCTTGGGACCTCATTCTTAACAGTGGCATCCTGTAATGTCACTTTTCTTCCTACTTAACAAACACTGAGAAATAACAGGGTGGTAGGAATTAAATCCTATTTCTTCCCTGTTTATTATATGTGGTGAAATCCTCCACATTGTTCAGTGAATTTAACACATGGAAGTTAGTTCTAAAACAAAATATAATCCATTATTATTCCATAATCTGAGGGACAGAAGATCTGTTTAGCATACTTGCTACCAAAAAAGACACCGTGTGTGTCTACGTATAGACTCTCACACAAAAGAAACTACAGAGGTATTGTTCCCTCCATTGTTGTGGAAGCTGATGGATATTGCCCTACATGACTTGAGGGTTTGTTCATGCTGGTGTCCTGATTTGACTGTAGGGCCTTATCTACAATAGCCACGGTACTGTTTAAACACTTTTCAAACATGGTTGTAGGCAAACTGGTTTATAACATCTTTTGGTCGTCATGTGCAAACAGTGTTAAACCTGGGTTTAGAACTGTTTGAATGTGACTGCTGTTTTATTTTTAAACACACACATGTTGTTTGTCCCTGACTACACAACAGGATGAAACTGTTAAAACATGGTATTGCTGTAACAGTGTTTAAAGACAGTTCGGTGGACATTGAAAATGGGCTCTAGATGTACATAAGTGCATGGATGAAGATGGGCTATGCGTTGTCCTTAAACTCTTCTACATGTAGTAGTTTATATATGCACTTGGGTTTTCCATTTTGATGCAGCTTCAGAGCAATAAGATGTAGTTCGCCTTTACCTAGCCACAGCTGCCCATGGCTTTATTTATAAACTGCGGTTTTGGGTAGTTGGGAAGGGGGTCAGAATTGTCACTGTGCAACATCCGCTGCCTTCCAAAAACCACAACTCAATTGAAAAGGGTGCTCAGACTTTTGTTATACACATTTCCTTTGTGTAAATAAATGTTTACAGTTTTATATTAAAGATTGAATAAGTTAGATCTTCTGACTGTATATTTTTTACTTTTTATAGATTTTAAAACTATAATTCTTTATATGTGTGTTTTTTGGGGGGTTATGGTAAGTTTTATGCTTGTAAATGGAGAATAATTGAATTTGATGTTAACCTTTGTGTTTTTGTCATTGAAATGTATGAAGAGCCCATTAATCCCCTTATTCTTTTACTACAATTACTGGTGCACACCAAAAAAGAAATCCTTCATTTCTGTTTATCGTTATAAAAATAAATATTTTGCTAGTGTATTAAATATATGGCTGTGACGTTATACCTTTGTGTAAGCTGAGCAAGGACTTTTTTGCATTGTCATTCTTAGTGAGGTTTGTCCTTAGCCTAATGATGGTGGACACCTATTGCTTTGATTAGTAATGCTCATATTCTGTCTGTCTTCATAACGTAACTTTCCTTCCTTCTAAGTCCTTTCCAAATTGAGACCAGTACTGCAGTGGGAGCGAAGAGAGGAAGAATAAGGATATTCTCCGGCCAACCACCAGAGGCTTCACTTAAATTTGAAAAATTAAGTTTAATATTCAACTAGATCCTATGTGTTAGTGATGGTTATTGCTTTTTTTAAATGGCTTTTCTTTCTTAGATCCTGTGGTGGTGAGTGGAGAGAGAGTTGGTTTCAAGCTTCCCTCTCTACTCTTATTTCCAGATTTTAGGTGTAAAAGTTTTTTAATGTTTGTTTTTTCACTTGTCTTGGAGAGACTCTAACAGTGAGTTGCTACGGATGGTATTGACTACTAGAACTTTTAAATTGTGCCCAACTTTCCAAAAAGTAAAAGGTGGTATTAGTAAAACTTGCAAAAATGAAGAAGTTATGCTGCTCTTCATGCAGCCCTCCCTATTTTAAACCATTGAAAGACAACAGAAATACTGTTAACAGTGGGGGGTCAAACATTTCAGACTGGTACCAAAATGTGGGCAACTCGGTTCTTGAAAATTTAGGCCTGAGGTTATTAGTACTTAAAGTACAAAAGAGATTTAAAAAAAAAAAAATTGCTGACTCAAACAATTACATTGTAACACTTGTATTGTCGTCTCTTCTGTTAGATGACAAAATCTGCACTAAAGACACTGATATGAAAGTGTAGAATTTTTTTCTGAAATAAACACAGAAAAATATATTTTGCAAAAACCCTAGTTATCAATAGTCCTTGCACTTGTCCATCAAAACACAAGGCTGACGTGGAGTTCTCTGATCTTCCTCTTCTGCTAAATGCTCTGACTTCCTTTGGCTGAGGAATGAATGCTGCTTCCTTCAAAGCATATCAAAGCTGCTTGATGTGGGTGGGAAAGAATGGGGTAGGAAATGGGGAAAGAGTTACTCCAGAGTCTTACTTTGGGCTAGCTATGGCTTGTTGCATTTCTTTTTGGTAGGGGCTGTCTACTCTGCTTAGAATAGTGTGTGATCTTAAGGCTTCATAGCTCTGAGCAAAAAATCTTTGGGTCAGTGTATGCCCACTCAGATGATACCAGCATCCACTGCTGTTTTTTCAGAAAGCAAGGCTCTTAAATTCTGATCTTACGACAGCAGGTTGTGCATGGTATGACAAGCGAAACATTGGGAAATGATGGAAAAATCACATATGAAAGGACTAGG